ATGCGAAAGCGGAAGCGTGTCCTACAAGAGCTTGAGAATACCGATGATGAAGTTGACGACCTATCTCATCAACTTGAATCTGCTGATCCAACCTATTCTCCTGCGAAATACGACACTGATAACGATTCCAACCACAGTAATGCGGTCTCTGACAACAGCGACGAGGGGGAGGGTATTACACCAGACGAATACATTTCGGACTTCAGGAAGGCCTGGGTAAAGTTGTCGCCAGAGGATAAAGCCCTTTATGATCAAGACGAACTTGACTTCCTTGTTCTCCTAAGCATGGATCCAGATCATCTATATACGGGTCAAGAGATTCAAGAGTCTCTTGACTCCGCCATCACTGAACGAGGCCTGCGACTCGTTATTGCCCACCGTTCTGGACAAACTAGGACTGGCATGAAGGTGTCACCCCACATCAAGTACAATGCTCTACTCAATCGCAACGAAGAGGATGACGGGCCGTTTTCTGCCCCAGTGTACTGCACTGCTACCGACAAGGATCGGAGTGCTGCACTCCGTCGGTTTGTAAGGGGCGAAGCTGCTACAGCAACTCCTATTACAGCGTTGGTAGAGGAGGTTGCTGCTGCAACCATTGGTGACCCTGCAGCCAGCTCTGAACATGTACAAGAGCTTGCTCTACCAGAACTGATTCTTCCGTTGGACCCTCCGGTTGTCCATACCGAAGGAAAAGTCAGTGGGGATACCACGGATATTGATACCCATCTTTCCTCTAACAGCCCTTTGAGCGCTTGCCAAACCCCTTCAGGGTCAGGATAAAGCAAACAGCAGCAGAGTACTATTGTTGTTTGGTATATGGCCATTAGTGGAGGATCAAACGGTTACGTCTGGAATTACTTCCGACAGTGTATATTAGAATACAGTAAATAGAGAAAATGGATCCGATTCTCTCCTAGAACCTCCCGAAACTGCTTCCACTGTAAACTCTATATTGTAATGATATTATAACCCTGTATTATAGCCCTAACATATGCTCATACACGCTTCTGACTATGACGAAACTATTGTGTTACAATGTCAGATCTATTTTGTTATTATATCCCCAAGTATACTGTAATTTGATTCGCTCATATATACCATTTGGTATATATGAGCTTATCTAAGATACCAATAATAGTGCTGGAATAGCTCATTGTGGAGAGGTTGTGTGGGGCAACTAGTCCTGGAATTGTGCAGGCTCTATCACTCGGCCCACATATGCCCCATACAAGATTTACTCAGCATCCTATTGGACTCTGCTAGCAGGGTCAAAAAAAAACGGCCTCCGCCGGTAAGGTATACATGTACGTTATGTACCTTTACATACAAATTACTATGTAGAGGTACTTACAGTCGCAATTGTGACGAGCCGCGTATTGAGCGAAGCGAAAAGTTTGGTCACGACGATTATCTAAAAGGTAGAAAAAAAGCTAAAATGTCCTGTACCCAAAAAAACTCCAGCCCAGGATATCAAACAAAACTATGCAGCCCAATCCTAGTAAAAGTTACAACAATGATGCTACAAACCATGAGTACATGTGGCGCGGTCGTTGGAGCAAGAGGTGGCCACCCGTCGCACCAGTCGCCGCTTATATGTCGCATTGATACATCGTAGTAATACAACATCTATCTCATGGAGTCTTTATGTCTATTCTTCCTTTGTATACGCCCATTTATCGCGTGACACGTATCGCATCTATTGCTGAAGATGCGCCGGCAGCTCATTAGCTGGCAGAGGATGTTGGGGCAGCGAATCGTCGCCACCAAGCTTCTCCCACAGGACGCCCTCGACCTGCTGCGCATTCGCCTCCTCGTCGCGGTTGCGCTTCTCGACCTTGCGTCCGCCGCGCGCCAGGTGCATGTTATCGCTTCCGGCGAGCTCGCGCTCGATCATCTCGCTCGTCCACTTGCTCGACTTGAGCGGCGGCACGTGGATGAGGTACATGGTGTCGACCTCCTCGATGGTGCGAGTCGCCGACTCGACGAGGAAGAAGTACACGATGGCGACACCGACCAGGTTGCATCCGGCAAACACGTAGCCGTAGCTGAAGTCGATGGCGCCAGTGATGAAAGGAGAGAAGAAACCGAGGAGGAAGTTCCAGATCCAGTTGGAGGCGGTGGCGAGGGCCATCGCGTTCGCACGGTAACGGTATGGGAACATCTCGGAGTTGACGGCCCAGATCATGGGTCCCCAGGTCGACGCGAAACCGCAGATGAACAGACACGCGAAGACGATGAGGACGGTACCATAGGTCTTGGCGTCGTTGCTGCCCTCAATTGCTGGCTGGAACTTGAAGTGTCCGATGGAGGCGAAAATCATGAAGCACATGAACATCCACAAGCCACCGGTGATAAGACACTTGCGGCGTCCGAAGTGCTCAACGAAGTAGAGACCGAAGAATGTAGCGCCAACGTTGACGCCACCCAGGATCATGGCCGTGACAAAAGAGTTCTGAAGTCCGACACCAGCGAAGATCGTGGTGCCGTAGTAGAAGAAGTAGTTGGCACCGGTCAGTTGCTGGAACATCTGTAGGGCCATGGCGAGCATGGTACGGTAGCCCATACGTGGACCAGTAAACACCTCGTACCAGGCGTGCGATCCTTGAGATGCGCGGATGTTGGCGTTGATCTCGGCAGTCTCGACGGCGATGGCGCGATGGTTGACGGGAACGCCGTAGAACTTCTGCATCGTGTTGAAAGCGCGCGTGTTGAAACCCTTGCGGATATCATAACGGGGCGACTCGGGAAGCATGAGCATGCCGATGCAGAGGATGAGTGCCCAGAGGTAGCCAATGGCCATTGGAATTCTGTAGGAGCCGGTATCCGTGCGCGATTCGGTGCCGAAATTTATACAGTTGGATGTGAAGATTCCGATGGTGATGAACAATTGGTAGGAACACACGACGGCTCCACGAACCTGCTTTGGAGTCGACTCCGACATGTATAGTGGGACGAGAACGGAGAGGGAACCGACACCAAGACCAGCGACCCATCTGCCCATCGCTACACCAACCCATTGTCCATCGCCAACAGCAATCTGGATAGTAACGCCAACGGCGAAGATAAGACACCACCAAGGAATCGAGCCTCGGCGTCCAATTCTATCCGCGAGCGGTGCAGCAAGCAAGGCTCCAATGGCAGTCCCGATACTGAGAAGGGCGACAATGAGACCCGATCGTACATTCGAGAAAAAGAGCTTCCCGTCTGCGTTCGTCTCTCCAAAGCGTTCCAAGAAGACTTGCATCTCCAGGAATCCAGAGATTTGTCCTGTATCGTAACCGAAGATGAAACCACCCATGGCAGCAATGACAGCCATCACCGCGGTCCTGAAGGTTACGCGTGGTACCTTCCCATCGTCGAGGTTCGGGTTGTTCATGATGGTCTCGGTATCGTCTGTGTTTTGATCGAAATTGATATTGGCGATTCCGCCCTCCTGCTCTTTGATACCGAGATCTGAGGAAGGGCTCCCGGACGTGTCGAGTCCATTGCCCGACGCCTTATAGCCCTTCACTTTGTCGAGGAGTCCCATGATGGTGGGGTTTCGACAAGTTTGTTTCGTTACAATAAAATTGAATAAAAATTATTTAGGAAGGAGAATGTGAGGTCTAAGAGGGGGGATAAGAAGTCATGGGAGAGTGGAACGAGACAGATTTTCTTTTTAAATGGATGGCGGATGGGGCGGATTCGAGTCGAGTGGGGGATATCAGAAAAAGTGAGAACTCCGTGGTATGACATCATGGTAGACCCAAAACCTCCCTTGGCTCGGCGTGGATGTGCAACGCGACAACCCATTGGGTCGGCAAACCGCTTAGTCAGCCGAACCTGCTTTTGTACTGTGTCGGTGTCGGAACGGAGTGGCACGGGGTGCATTTGCGGCTGTGGAAACTTCCACATAACCTGTACTTTGGAGATACGACGTCAGTGGTCGTCGCGGCAGAGGCTGAAAGCATCATGACATGATGAACCAGAGGGGTTGGACCTGGGGACGCGCGGGGGATGAAGATGGGGTGAGGAGAAGTTGGAGATTCATGGAGATGGAGGCGAAATGACTTTTGGGAGATTCGGCGAGTTGAGTTGGAGAAGCAGTTGAGAAGGAGATGGGGATAGGCGGCAGACCCATAGGCAACGCGCAATCACGTGAAACTTGCATTTATCCTGAAATCTCCTCGCAGGAGTTCACGTCTTAATCATCTCAAAATGCATAATCGTGACGAATCCCATTGATGTTTCGGGATTCGGTGATATGCATGTGATAGTTCTATGTATCCTATTCGCCTCCTGCTCCACAAATATATAATCACGTGACTGTACAATTATCCAGAGTCTCCCAGATCCCCACCGAACCCCCACCCCACCCCACCGAACCCCACCGAACCCCCACCGAACCCCCACTCCCCTTTCTGTTCTCACGTGTTCTGCTAACCTCATCTCCACTTTCGTCTCCACAGTCCCTTCTCCAATACCGGCAGGAATACGTACCCCATATCACGTGATAACTCTAACCATATAAAGTCGAAAACTCATCGTTATCATCCTCTATATTCTCCCTATCATCCTCATAAATCTCCTAAATTTCTCTATATTTCTACCGACACCAGTGCCTCCCGCCAGCGCAAATGGGATCGCCAACGGGGAGAAGGCGGGAGGCGGCGACACGAGGACCGTGATAATCGTGCATGGCCCGGGACAGGAAGGCATTGTGTCCGTGGGGACGATTTACACAGTTGGTTTCTGCGCCGGGGAAAGCGCGCCTGGCGCTGCGGGACTGTGGCAGGGGAGCGAGGCGTTCACGGGGGTGGAGAGCGTGCAGAGGGATAGTATGGTTTTTCTTTTGCCGCCCTGCTTTGGTGGATGGCTTGTTGTGTGGTGTTGTTGATGTGTGGGTATGTTGGTGTGCGGGGAGGAGTGGTTCTGTTGTCGTGGGTTTGCTTGCTGTGAGGGCGGGGTTGGGTGAGTGAGGGCTGGCTGGGAAGGGTGTTCTGTGTTTCGATGTTAGGATGGTGAGTGAAGCGCGCGCGGAAGTCAACATCAACGAGCCGAGCATCGAGACGCTGCAGGCGCTGCTGCTGCTGTCGCTATCCTTTATCGCCTTGGGGAGCGAGAAGAAGGCGTATATGCTTTTAGGTGAGTCGGTCCGGATGTCTTGGCGTGGTGGTGGTTGCTAATGTGTGTGTGTTACTAGGATCTGGAATCGGAATGGCCGTGGCTCTCGAAAAGAATTCGCCTTCTACGGGCGCGTTTTGGTGACCATGAGGGTAGACGGAGGATTAATGCGCTGTCGGGGATCATCGATGGCCGCTTCGACCCGCAGACGCGAATCGGTCCATTAGGTAACATGACCAGAACAGACGCCGCCGCAGACTTCGCTCGCCAGATGATAATTCCAACCTCGGATCCGCCTCGCGGCAAGACAGGAGTAACCTCCAATACCACGCCGGCAGCGGCAAGACATCACAAGGCGGCACGGGCCTGCTCTTCGACATCGTGAGGATCCTGGGTAACACATCGCTCTACCTCGCCGCCGGCGGCGTCAAGGGCGACAGCCACTTCCCCTGCCACAGCCTGTCGAACCTCTCCAAGATCCGACAGGCGGCGGTATGCGTTTGGCTTATCTGCTGGTACTGCCTTTAACGATCTTAAAGCAGCTTGAACAGCAAGGTTTATAATGTGCCCAATACATCTGACATCGCCTTCTTTTGTTGTATATGCCCATGGTTGCTGTAATGTAGTTTCGTTCTTGCATGCTAAGTTCTCATATTCTGAGAGCATGGTAGTGTTTGCAGAAGCATTATCACGAGTGATAGTAAAAACTGCAGGAGTAATACCATAGTCGTCTGTAACAGCTATTAACTGCCCTGCAAGATATTCACCAGAATGGATTGGCTCTTGAAGCTCAATAACATCTAAGACTGTACATCGTAACTGCCACTTATCAGAGATCCAATGTGCTGTTACTGCAGCGTATTCAGAATAGTTGCGTGCAGACCAAGTATCAGGTGTTAAAGATATCCGTCCACCTTGTGCAGTATGCTGCTGTAATTCAAGTTGTAACCTTGCTTTATGAATGCAAAATATCCGTTGCAAGTCTCTTGCAATTGTCGTCCGTCCAATTACAAGTGTTGTTGGATTTAAATGGCTAACAAGCTGCCGGAAGGATAGACTCTCAGATGTACGCAATGGTAGGTTATTAGACACAATAAATGAGAGTAGAAGCTCTCTAAATTTTGACGAATTTGGTACTTTGCGAGGCTGGAAGAATGTAGCTGTAGTTGAAGAAGAAGGCTGTGTATCTCCATCTTGAACATGCTTTTTCTTATATTGTGCATGTATTGCTGGATGTTGTGTCTTTAAATGCTTCCAAAGATTACTCGTTGTCTGCATCTTTGTAGGTTGTGACGGTGTATATGTGCAATGTGGCTGCAAGCACTTAAATGATATTCTTAAAGGCGCATTATCAAGAATAGTACGAGAGTATAGACCCTTTGCAAAGAGGATTGAGTCAGAATCTGGTAACAGTTGGTCTTGAGGCCGTACAGGCATGCGTACAAGTGGTAGGGGCAAGAGTGGATCTTGAGAGGCATTCTTATATTTGCTCGGGTCGTCTAGGGGCGGCGGTGATAGCGAAGACTCGCTCATCTTGACGATGGTAAGTATCACAATAATATTCAAGTCATTGAAAGCTTCACTTTGCCTATGCTATAATTCTGTCTACGTCCTTACCCCGCTCTCTTGGCTGTCTCAACTACTCGAGTAGTACTCGAGTAGTTCAGATTTCTTCGAGTCGAGTACTACTCGAGTAATTCCTCGAGTACTACTCGCAACGAGTAGTACTCGGGCAACACTGACATTGTCACAAAGAAAAGGAAAAGACTATTGCCTTCAACAATTAGATATTTACTATGTCTACGGGATTGGGGGATAATTGTCGACGAAGAAGATATAGGTTAGGCATAGTTAAATATTTCCCATAGTTTTCAATATTCTATACACTCTATTTAAGCCTTAGGTTCGAGTCATGATTCGGCGAATACCTCAAAAATATGAATGAATCACCGAATCGCCGAATCGTATTCGGAGGTGGTTCGCCGCACACTGATCCCCCCCGGCCCCAAAAAAAGGCAAACAAGGTCACCACATAGGAAAATATGGCAATAACAAATCCAATCCGAAATGAAACGCGCGTTCCTGACTACACCTACCCCCTCCATAATCTCTACCAATCCCTCACTTCGTGCGTTCTGTCTTGGTTTCTTCATATCCCTCCTTTCTCAAGCTGCCTCCCCCATCTCAACGTCACATATATGGCACTGCAGTTGCACCGCCCCCTCGGGGAAATGTCCTGTCTAAAGTAGCGGGGTAAAATGCACTAACTACCGGACCGTTTGTGGGGTAAACCAGCATCTCTCTCTGTCCATCTATCTGCCTACCAAACCTCGTGGCTGGCTGGCTAAATAGCTCACCACTGTAGTACCGCATCTGCTGCGGGTGGGTAAATGCTGGAAATACTGGAAATACTGGTGAGGCGCTGGGTAAAAGGAGGATTGGATGGGTGTCAGGTTGGGTAAAGGAGGAGTGGCGCTGGGTAAACGCATTCTTGTCTGGGGGAGGGGGAGGGGAGGGGGATGTGTCCTTCTTTGTACATTCCCACTCCCATTTCCATTTCTAATCCCATTTCCAATCCCATTTCTACCCCCACCTCAGCTCAGATAATGACATTAGTCCGTAGGTCACATCAGCTCACGGAAACAGAGAATAGAGAGGATTTGTATAACAGGTAGTGTACCCTTATACACCTGATTCATTCGCGTTAATATCAGTTCGGAATTAGATACTCCCCCCCCAACCACCCAGTATGTCATATCGTATATCCCCCCCTCCCCCCCCCTGCCCCAGAAAAAAAATACCCCCAGAACCACCCAGTATGTCATATCGTATATACACCCCCCCCTCCCCCCCCTGCCCCAGAAAAAAAATACCCCCAGAACCCGAAAATAAACGGTTGAAACACCACCCCCCCTCCCACCATATTGACAATCCCATCGTACCCCTGCCCATCAATAGGGGTGGGATGGGGTATTTTTATCAACACCCCATCCCACCCCCCCCTTCCCTCTCCGGCTCATATCCCATCGCCCGAACTCTCGCCTACACACTCCCCCGAACCACACAACCAAAGATATGAACATGAACACCGCACCACACCCCGCAGGCGAGCACACACCGAGCTACACACACAGTTAGACGCCACGTCGCCTCTCGATTTGGCGGGATCAGGTCCTCCTTGCTCTTTCCAGTAAATAAGGTTTCTCCGCATTGTGTAGCTTCGTATCGGCTCGCAATCGCATCCCCGCGCGTCTCAGCCCTGCGCTCATCTCGTAACGGTAGATCAGGAGGATGAGGAAGATCCCCGCTCCGCTCCGCTCCCGCGTGCCTGGTGCGTTCCCCGGTCCAAGAACGAGACTACCGGTAATGCCGGTGGCAAGGCCAAGTTTGGTTTGTCGATCGATTGAAAATCCTGCTTTCCTTTCCTCTCATCTCCATCCCTTCCCTCTCGCTCAAGTAGATTCCTCAACCACACTACCCCATGCCCCCCCCTCCACCCCCCCAAGAAAGAAATTCAACTCGCTCGGCCCGCCCCCACTATACTCATTCTCAGCCAACTGCTCCAGCAGCGTCAAAAACGGATCCTTCTACCCATCCCCCTGTCCTCCCACCCCCCGTCCTCCCCCATTCCCAAGCGCGCCCGCTACACCGCATCCACTCCCCGGTGAGGGCGTTTCCGCGTAGAGATCGGTGCCGGGGGGTGCGGTGGAGAGGGGGTAGAGCCCTCCACCCCGCTGAACTGCGCGGCATTGCCATTGCCGTTGCCGTTACCATTCCTCAGATGCTCGGGGTAACCGTTGCCGGCGCCGAGGGACATGGACGTCCTCGAGTGTCGCGGGGCGGATGTGCCCCGTTGCTGGTGATAGGGAAGGAAGAGGAGTTGAAGAAATCGAGGTGTGGTAAGGTATCTGTTGTTGCTGAAGTCGGGTTGTTGCCGTTTGTGGAGGAGTCGTGGAGGCGCGTAGGAAGCTCATTCCCCTCCCCCGCGTCTTTCTTCCTCTTCCCCGTCGCCGTCGTCGCAGTAGTTGGATACGCCGCTATCCCATCCGGGAAATGCGACGACGCCGCGGGCATCGCATGCAAATTATGCGCGCGATACTCCTCATCCGCCGCCGGATGCCTCAACGACACCTCCGCCAACGAGGCATGCGCGCCATCAAACGACGCCCCAGGTGCCGCATACCGATCAAAGAAATCCTCCAGATGAAAGACCGGCGAATACCTCATCGGCGACGCAGCGGGGTTCTTCAGCAGCTACGCATGCCGCGCGTACAGCGCCTGCAGCGTGTCGCGCTGGTGCTGGACGAGGGCCCAGGTGTACCGCAGTTCGGAGAGCTGGTGCATGGAGCGCGAGAGCAGGTCGGGGGAGGAGGAGAAGACTTCGTCGGAGTGCGAGGTCTTGTAGTGCGAGCCGTGACGTGGACCGTGCCGGCGCTGCAGACGCAGTAGCCTACGAAGGCGGGCCATTCGGTGGAGCCGGCTTGGCGGCCGAGTTCGACGAGCTCGGCGATGGCGTTGGCGTGGAGAAAGCAGAGGTTGGTGGCTTCGATCTGCCAGCTCTGGTGTTGTCCCGTCCCCGCCAGCTCAGCGAGGTCAATGGGCAGGAAAGGGCGGTAGATGAGCACGTGGATGAGGTGGTATATGAGTTCCGCGAGGATCAAGATCGTGCTATCGGGTTGGTGGAATAGTGGAGTGGTGGAGGCGAGATGTCTGCGGTCCCCGAGGCCCAGATATTGAGGTGAGTATGGAGCTGCCCGAGTTCCATCACTACCAGAAAATGAGTCAGTAGCTGTTCTTAGCAAACTTCGGCGTCATATATATGTGTTTCACAACCGACGACAATGGAAGGATGCCTTAAAAAAGCAATGTGAAGCTGCAAATATTGAGTTTAAGCAGCTTAGCCTCGATATGCCAGTATGATGGAGCTCAACATATTATATGCTTCATTTAGCGTTAAGATTACAAGGTCCAATAACAGCTCTCTGTAAGGATGCCTTCTCATCTCTCATTCTAGGGAGTAGACTCTGGGTAGCTGCGGGGTCACGTGTGATCATTTGGGTGGGCTAACTGAGTCGGATGGGTTTCGGGTACTTGAGACAATCGACTCACGGGGTTCCCCCATCATCTTTTTTGTATCCTTCGTAGTAGACCTATAGGATAGCATCCGTTTAGCCTCCGACTTGCACTCTCATATGCTATTACTGTGAGCTGGGTGCCCTGTGTCCTTACATTATACAAAAAAGATCACGCCTGCCGGGGACGGCCGTACTTAAATAATATCCCACACCGGAACGACTCAGGAGAACTACCGTTACACCATCGACTGCGACTCAGTGACGTTTTGGAGGAGAGACCTGACGACTTCAAATAGCCGTGATTCCAGAGATCTCACGGACAGCCAGTGGATCAGGGTTTGATTCTTCAGAACAAGCTGGTAAAGTCGCTGACGCGTTGGCGACAAATAGGATACGAGATCCTTAAGAACCCCCTCATAGCATAGAGGAAATTGTGGACAAGAGCGTTGATAGCTACGAGCTACCGGAAGTCAAGCTCTTTCGTATCGGTACCGATACACACCCGAGGCAGTATGTCGAAAAAGCCGACATCAAACATACCCCAAGACAATGATGGTCAACTGCCCAGAATGACTACCAGACAATCCACCGCTGCAGCTATGACCGCTGTGCCATCCGAAGACATCCCGAGTCGAATGGCCCACCTCGAAGCACAGGCACAGATACAGGAGGTCAAGGATCTACTAGTTATCCTGTCGGCATCCCAGACCAGAATCCCGTCCACACTGTTACGATATCAAGTGCACCTTGCAGCTCGAGTGGGGGTTCAGGGGTGTGGGGAGCTTTCCGGGGTTGGAGCAAAGTTTTCAGTTGTGGAGTGAATTCTCAGAACTGGTCTCGCTAAAGAGAATTCACTCCACAACAACATAGCTGTATATAGATCGAGCCACTGCTCGAGTGCTCCTCTTCTCTTTCCTTTCTTCTCTAGATTGAGTTTAATTCATAATACCCAACTGGAGCCCTATGCCTTGGTGAACCGTGACACACACCGCCGGTGGGCGCCCCCATACCCACAGTCGAAGCTATGGAGCAACGAACGCCTCGCACACGAAACACCCCCGAGACAGTTCAATTGCCACCTCTTCAGAACACTCGTTCTCCATCGATTCCAGGGTCGTCACGAATGCACACCGAGGACCCTCCGAATCGCTATAAGAAATCAACCATCTCTGAGAAAATCCTTCCTCTCAGCGATGGGGTAGAACATACCTTCCTACAATGGAGCGCTTCGATTCGGGACCGACTCATAGTCAATGAGGACCACTACCTTACCGACGTCTCGAGAAGAGCATTTATATGGGGAACTACGACCGGCCTGGCGAAGACCTACCTAGAGCCCCAATACCTGTCCGCTACGCATGGGTTCCGCAGTGCTGAGGAGATGATGGATCTACTAGGTTCATACTACCTCACAGGCAACGAGACGGAACAGGCCAGGAACCTCTTCAACGACCTGCAAATGGGAGAGAAAGGGCATGCTAGCGAAACCTTCCCAGAGTTCAAGGCTCGTTTCCAAAGTGCAGCTATCACAGGACAAGTCTCCGAGTCGGAATGGTTTCAGTACATGTGGAACAAGTTGACTCCCCAATTCCGCAGCCGCGTCGCGATCATCAAAAACCAATGGAATCGAGAATACCAGACCATGGTACGAGAAATTACCGCCTTTGATCAGGAACGGCGCCGGAACAACGAATTGAACCCACTACCCACTCTCGCAAGGATGTCCACACGTACCACAGATACGGCAAAGGCATCGGCGTCGAAGCTGACTCGAGCCACACCCACTCTATTCACCTGAACCGCGTTCCTCCCCAAGCCAGCCATACCGGAACGTGTGAGAACCGCAGTCCCTGCACCCTCAGGGAACTGTTTCAAGTGTGGCAAGCTCAGCCATTTCCAGGACAAATGCCCCCTTAATGCTACTATCAAGGAAATGGACCGTAACGACCCCGAGCCAGAAGAACAATGGGAAGAAGCCGTGGAACTTCAATCTGATGCGTCCCTCGAGGAAAATGACGAGGCCTAGGAGAAGGCTCCTTCCTAGGTCTACCCAAATGTGACCTGAGAGGACTAGACTTACGAGAACTCCTGGGAGGCACCCAGTTCTTAGTCGACACGACCCTGAGTATGAATGGACTCGGGGTGCAAACAAAGTCCCTAGCAGACACAGGAGCAAACGGCTACCTCGTCATTAACAAGCCTTTCGCAATACGACTGTCGAAAGCGCTTCAGAGCCCTATACGGAAACTACCCTACTCTGTACCCATACGTGAATTTCAGCGCAAAATCCAAGGCCACGTATCGGAGTATATTCGGTTACACTTAACAGTCGAAGGACGCTGGATATATAACTGCCCCTTTGTACTCCTGGACCTCGGAGCACAAGATGTGATAATTGGGAAGAAGCTGTTCAGCCGTTTCCGAATACTACTCGACTCTGCAAAGAGCCAGTTAGTATGGCCAAAGGAGTACCCGCCGACTCCTAGCTGGAGCAAGGAGATCACCTTGCCCTACCACTCACGCGAAACGTCCATTAAACATCCTGCATACCAGTCAGATGCGAATCGCCGGGATTTCGCAATCCACCGCGAAGACAGACGCCGCGCAGGCGGACGCTCGATGGAAATGAAAGTGATAAATTCTGACTACGAAGAGATCACCGATACGCCATCGAACCCACTATGAAACCAGGAGGTTTCTCCCCCACCGCAGAAAACTGTCATACTGACATTCGTTGCACTCAGTTTGCTATCAAACTCAAGAGCAAACTTAGAAATCTCCTCCTCAAACCTACAAGTCACCATACATATCTTGGCTTATCACATCAACAACAGAAGCAATACTACTCAACGATTGCTGCAAACTCTTCTACTACATCTGTTTATGCTACATACATCACAGCATATCATTTGGACACTCATTGAACAAGTTATTAAGAAAATCTCCTCCTTAAGGGGGTGGGCCAATACTACCACATGGCATATCTCTACCAACTAGAGGCCTAGGAACATGAACGATAGCTCTAGAAGTTTCTACAACCCTCTATGATTCATTACACGTCATCGCTCCTTAGTTACCCACAAGATTGGTTAAGTTATGACATAATTTATCTATAGGTACTCTGACCTTGGACCTCCTTTTCACTTCCTATAGGCTAGGAACCCAAGAGATGGTTCTATGGGATTCTCTTATGTTCACTACATGATTAGCAAGCTAGTTGTGGGTCGCACTTGATTTCTAATACATTTACCAAGCCTGGTTAGTCATGGAAAGTCATGGAAAATGAGAGAACTACACTCCTTTGGCATAAATAGGATTGCCCTTTCCTTAAGAAAGGGCAAGCAGGCAATACAGTAAATCGACTATCACATACTTCCACGTCTTTTACAAGCTTCCAAGCATTGATCTTGTTACTCCTTGTTTCTGAAAAGTCAGTGAGGTGTTAACCTCTGACTTACCCCTGAGTTCCCAGACTCAACATTTGTTGCAACTTGTCTGAACCACTTCACTACATCACACACCTGATTGCTGCGTTGTGGAATAGTCTAAGCTACAACCCTTTGGCTCTGTTTCCTAAGATAGTGTGTTGTCTTAGTAAAATCATCCCTTCCTTGGGTGGCTAGATTCTCACATCTGGTGCACCCACCCTTTCAAAAACCCTAGTACATCATAGGTTTACACCCATGCATATATGCGAAATCAGTGCAAATGCTTTCCACCACGAGATGATGCGAAACGACTCCGAGTTTTTTCAGACTAGCATCTACGAAATCAATCAGATCATTCATGAAAAGGAGTTGGTAGAGGACGAAGAAATGCTCCGCCTCATCCAGCAGAAGCTTCCGCATAGGCACCGGAAGTACACTGATGTCTTTTTGAAGTTGGAATCAGATCGAATCCCCCCCCACCGCATATACGACCACAAGATACAGCTCGAGGCCCCTTTACCAAACGCTTTCTCGCTGTTATATCGACAGGGCACCGAAGAGCTTAAGGTGACCAAGCAATACCTGTTAGAGAACCTAGAGAAAGGCTTCATCGTCAACAGCAACAGCCCCTTTGCGTCCCCTATCCTATTCGTAAAGAAAGCGGATGGCAAATTAAGATTTTGCATCGATTACCGGAAGTTAAATGGCCTCACCCGGAACGATCCCTACCCCATCCCGCGTATCGATGAACTACTAGGACGGGTGTCGAAAGCAAAAATCTTCACGAAGCTAGATATCAGACAAGCCTTCCATCGTATACAGATGCACCCCGACTCAGACGAGTACAGAACCTTTCGGACTCGCTATGGATCCTATAAGTGCAAAGTGCTGCCATTTGGACTGACGAACGGTCCCGCAACCTATCAGCGGTATATGAATGACGTCCTGATGCAATACTTAGACGACTTCTGTAGCGCATACTTAGACGACATCCTAATCTATTCAGAGGACCCTACGGAACACATAGAGCATGTGCATAAGGTCCTACAGCGTCTCTTAGAAGCTGGACTCCAAGCCGATTTGAACAAATGTGAGTTCAACGTCACCAGGACAAAATACTTGGGTTATGTTCTCACTACCTCCAGTGTCGAAGCGGACCCCGACACAATCGAACCCCTTCGTAACTGGATCCGACCGACCACTGTTACGGGTGTGAAGTCCTACCTGGGATTCTGTGCTTCTATAGACAATTCATTCGCAATTTTGGCAAAATAGCAAAGCCCCTCACCACCATCACTAGTCCCTCGGAGCCGTTCCGATGGACAGAGGAATGCGAGGCTGCTTTCGAGGAATTGCGACAACAACTTTTAGCGGTACAGGCACTTCACCACTTCAACCCCGAATTGCCTACGAAGCTGGAGACCGACTCCTCTGATGGAGTGGTAGCTGGTGTCCTGTCTCAAGAACACCCTGACAAGCGATGGTACCCAGTAAGCTTCTACAGTCACGTGAGATCAACTGGGAGATCCACGACAAGGAACTATTCGCAATCGTGAAAGCCTTTGGAAAATGGAGGCCCGAGTTGGCTTCGGTACGCTGTAATGGTGGGTGCACCAGATGTGAGAATCTAGCCACCCAAGGAAGGGATGAATTTACTAAGACAACACACTGTCTTAGAAAACAGAGCCAAAGGGTTGTAGCTTAGACTATTCCACAACGCAGCAATCAGGTGTATGATGTAGTGAAGTGGTTCAGACAAGTTGCAACAAATGTTGAGTCTGGGAACTCAGGGGTAAGTCAGAGGTTAACACCTCACTGACTTTTCAGAAACAAGGAGTAACAAGATCAATGCTTGGAAGCTTGTAAAAGACGTGGAAGTATGTGATAGTCGATTTACTGTATTGCCTGCTTGCCCTTTCTTAAGGAAAGGGCAATCCTATTTATGCCAAAGGAGTGTAGTTCTCTCATTTTCCATGACTTTCCATGACTAACCAGGCTTGGTAAATGTATTAGAAATCAAGTGCGACCCACAACTAGCTTGCTAATCATGTAGTGAACATAAGAGAATCCCATAGAACCATCTCTTGGGTTCCTAGCCTATAGGAAGTGAAAAGGAGGTCCAAGGTCAGAGTACCTATAGATAAATTATGTCATAACTTAACCAATCTTGTGGGTAACTAAGGAGCGATGACGTGTAATGAATCATAGAGGGTTGTAGAAACTTCTAGAGCTATCGTTCATGTTCCTAGGCCTCTAGTTGGTAGAGATATGCCATGTGGTAGTATTGGCCCACCCCCTTAAGGAGGAGATTTTCTTAATAACTTGTTCAATGAGTGTCCAAATGATATGCTGTGATGTATGTAGCATAAACAGATGTAGTAGAAGAGTTTGCA